ACAAATCCTAGGGTTGTAAATGGACATGTAAAACCGTTTCTGGAGATTTTTTGCCCTTACCTAAGCCACATACCTTTTATGTAGATATCAGAGAACAATTTAAAATATTGTATCAATGCATTCTATGGCACCTTTAAACTGAAATAAAACTAAGACTGAAATTAGTAGTATTAGAATAAATGTGAACAATAAGTCATAAAAAAATTGATTTTAATTCTTAAGGCAAATAATTTATTGTTAAAGGGGTCATATGATGTGATTTCAAGTTTTCCTTTCTCTTTGGAGTGTTACAAGCTGATTGTGCATAGATAAGATCCCTGAATGTGTGTGTGTGCGAGAGAGAGAGAGAGAGAGAAAGAGCAAGAGAGAGAGTGAGAGAGGGAGAGAGCGAGAGAGAGAGAGAGAGAGAGAGGGTTGGTCACATCAGAGTGGAGTCAGCTGTCTTAACCGTGGCTTGTGTACTGCAAACACATACCAGCTTCATCACTGTCTCACGCGACTCTGTTCACCTTTCGGGCTCTGTCTTTACATTTATTTTGAAAGATGAAGCTCGCGATTATGGAAAGCGGTGTTACATTTCCGACGAGTGCTTGCGGTGTTCAGCCAATCACAATGCACTGGGTCAGCTGGCCAATCAGAGCAGACTGCGCTTGTCGGAAGGAGGTACTTTGTAGAAAACGAAGCGTTTGAGAGAGGCGGGGCATAGAGGACCTACAATAATGTACAGTATTTGAAAAATAATGTGTTTTTTGAACATTAAAGCATGTCAACATATTCTGATACACCAAATACACAAAATAATTATCTTTAAAATAGCATCATATGACCCCTTTAAATTGCTCTGTACATCAGTAGAAATATTTAGTTTGTGAATATTTAAGGATGGGTTTAACAAACCAATGGACACATTTTATTATATTATTAAAAGCAAACTGTTCAGTTCATTTTTCCCCCCAAGTTCCTTCCTATTTTGAGTTAATTGGCACTTTGACTCTATTTTCATATCACCAAAGGCATCTCACTCAAATTTCCACACAAAACCAGACACAAAAAAATGTGAAGCAATTTGCAAATAGAAGCAATATATATTTAATTGCAATTTTATGTACATATTTACAGTTGAAGTGTGATACAGCAGCTAGGTGGCGCTGCAGGACACTCGGATTGCACTGCTACAGGTTAGGCCACTGCTGCCGTTTCCATGGCGGCCGGACTTGTCTTTGGCTTGAGTGGACAACAGATTATTACCCATGAGCCCCTCAGAGCACCAGCTTTCTGTTACTCAATGTTGCTTACATAAATATGGCTTTTTGCTCAATTAATAGCCCCAAAATTTTTGTGAAATGCCACAAATGCCATTATTACACACACACACACAAAAAAGACAGTACGGTTTAGACATGAGACATTCAGTGACTCTCAACACTGCAAATATTTGTTGACAATTGTATGCCCATAGGATGCCCTCAGCAATACATACAACAGTTTGAAAGACATCTAGATAAAGAGCGGAGAATATGATTATGAAGGTGTGAGTGGAGAAAACATTGTGAGAGAGGAAATAGAGGCAGAAATCCCTTCCCTTCGAGGTTAGAGATCGCTGGGTGATTAGTGACCCACAACTCTGTGCTGAAACAGACTCTGCCGTATATAAATATATAACAATGTGTGGAAGCCTGTTAAATCCGTCCTGTCAGGGTTCATCTCTGGGGAGAGAGGAGTGGGAACAGATTACCGGTGAGAAAGCTTAGAAAACCAATTCTACCGCTCGCAGTTAGAGTATAGGGAACCGCGCACCCAGGAGAAGACCATAATCTGCCTCGGGCACGGATTTCGCCCCAGATTTCAGTGCCAGACCAAAAATCCTCTTTCTGTCAATGCCCAAATGAAAAAAAAAACAGCAATGCTAAAACCGACCTTTAACCTTTATAAATAAAGGGAGGGAGAGGTAGAGGCGATTTCTGGCTGTGCCATAAACAGCTGGTAAATGTGATTTTCCTAATGAGAAGTTAATCTACTTGAATCCTCTGTGACATAACAGCGCTTCCTCTCAGAGAGGAAATAACTGATACGGCATCACAGGAAAATACTGAATCTTTAAATATCATTGGGCCTAATGCTGCCTTTAGATCATGTCAGGATGATCGTATTTTTTTTTTTTTTTTGGGTCTCATTTTCTAACATTTTTTCAACTCATTTCGTAATCATTGTTGGGAAGTACATCTTTTGGATTCATAAATACAAATGTTCCTGCACTTAAAGGCAGCATTATGATGACTGGGAAAATGCAATGAGGAGGAAAAAGGAACTATAAGCTCATAAGATGAAGATGAGAATGACGAGAGAAGCAGCTGGTAATGCTGCTGCCACTTAGTGGTGTTACACTGTGCTACATTGAGACAGAGATATCACACAATGAGATGACTGATCGATACCTTATTCACATTAGAAATTCATTATAACAGATAAAGACCTATATATCAATAAATATTTACCCTCTTTACTCTACATATATGTTCTCATTTTACAGGAATGAAAAAATAATAAAAACAATACTTGCTCAAATGACAACTGAAGTTACAATACATTATATAGCTCTTTGGAAAGACAAAAAAAGTTAAATGATAAAAAGATCCATGTTTATGTTCAATCAAAGCATAATGTGAAGAAAGAACAGCCAGTTATAAATGGAGATGCTTTACATTGGACTGCTTTATAGGCACATAGGAGTGTATTTCTGTTCTCTACTGGCTTAAAGCTTTTCAGTCATTTGTCTGTATTCCTTTGAATGTCTTTTCCTGTCAAAGTCTCTTCTTAGCTCACAAATAAATAAATATTCCTTTGTGAGTGCACTTTTATCTAACCGTTTGAGACAAACCAGCGCTTTGACTGTTTCCTGATATGACCTTTCTCCGATTATAAAGTATGTCACCTCAACATAGTCTAAACACGCTGAAAACTTCATTTCATCACAGTTTAGAGCCAGTTCAGATTGCACGCAGATCTACATATAGCTGCAAACAGGTAAAGCATCCACCTCGTGCATTACAGCACTGGAACATCTTGTAAGAATGAGTCCCAAAGGGGAATGCAGCAGGAAGTGAAAACACAGCCAATATCCCATCCAACAGCACAGAACAATGCCTTATTAGATGTATTTTTTTATTTTCATATTTAGATGCAATGAAGAAATCTTTTTCTGACTCTTGGCCAATAATTTTGTCAGTACACACTAGTGGTGAACTTATTGACTGATATGTCAAATAACAGCATCCTTTGGAATAACATAAGTTCTGTCATGACAACTCTCGGAGGGATTGGCATGGTAATGTACATGACAATGTTAATGTATTTGGTCTTGGCGGAATAAACCTTCTACGCTGCTGCTGTAGCAGAGCAAGTACAGAGACTCGCTACTGCCAATACATCCACAATAACCCCCCTATAGCATACATGAATCACCTCGTAACAGATCTATACAGGTGGAGCTGGGGAAGGAGGAGGGTTTCTGAA